TATATAGGATGCATCTTACCATTAGTTTAGTTGTAATTTACAAGTTTTCTTGTCTGACAATTCCAGGTTGCTCCATAATAGTACATAAACATTGTCACGAAGAAGTGATCGAAAAATGTCCAGGAAATAAAGCAGACGGTGCTTCTGACGCGGAGAATGGCGGTATTGTTGAGGTTTGTTTTTTCTGAAGTGCTCCTATAATATAGACAGATATTTCAGCTCATTGACAAGAACGCTCAAGAGATCCGAGTTTGGGAGTACTTCTGAATTGTGAATGATAACAAAAATGAAAAAGGAGTGTTCGTGGAGTAAACATACTCTCCATATCCGAGGGACCAAGAGGGCGTGGTCAAGAACATCATCCAACCAAGTGATTAAATGCAATTTTCCTGCGCAATTTCCATTCGAGACAATTGCTTGTTTCTATGCTGGACAAAGGCATGGCTACAAATGTCCCAAAACGGCAACAACCCTCCATTGGCGACCTTTCTGTCGCGTTCTTAGAACTTTTCAGCGCTTTATGGAACGAATCCGCACCCCAAATTTTTTATTATGTTCCCTTGGCCTGTAAATCTCCGCACAAATAAGATGGAATCAAATATTTTTTTACTTTTTTTACGTTTTGCAGCCTGGCATGGGTCGGTTCAGCATTAACATGCCGCATCGCTTCTCACCTCATTTCTACAAACTTCCGACGTTTTGTGATCATTGTGGTTCGCTGCTGCATGGCTTAACCCATCAGGGTCTGCAATGTTCCGGCTGTAAACTGAACGTACATAAACGGTATGACAATTGATTGAAAAATGAGTGAATAGCAGAAGATTGAACACCTTTCACTTTTGGAACATCCCCTCCCCTCCTAAGGAGGACCCTCCAGGGGAGAGCTGATCAACCATCAATCCTTCTCGTTCCTGAACCCCCCCCCCAGGGTGATATAGGCATTCGAATGGAGTATCTGACCCACCAACTATTCAGCATGACTGATTCACATGTTAGTTCTTGTCCTTTTGAACTAGCTTGTCCCAACTGAGCGAGCCCCAGAAGACAAAAAAGGGTGACCAGTCCCAGCGAGGAGACCATCAAGCGTGGAAAAGCGGTGCCACTAGGCCTATACTATCTTACCCTATCTCTACCCTTTTCGACCTACTTGTGGTAAACGAGAGCTGCAGCCAGGTGCAATGAAGCAACCCCTCCCCCCTTTCCGCTCTCTTCCTCTTCTTCTCCATAGGCTCCCGTCGCAAGGCTCGCTTTCCTTGTGAAGCAGCGCCACTTTTCCTATCTAAGGAATGTACCATCTGGTCCAATCCACTGCCAGTAACTAGATCGCTTTCCCGGCAGGGTACAGAATCGCGATGTGTAAAATGGTGGTGTCGTTACGACCCCTCCCCTTTCCCAACACCCACCTACCAACTTCCCACATTCTCCAGTTTTCAACCAGAAATTCAGAAATTTTCCGTCGAGTGGAAGGGCTGGGAAGTACACATGAAACGGGAAAAATCACAAAAGGTGAACAACCGAGAAAAAAATTTTCCCAACGTGGCAAACTCCTCTCAAATCCACCTACCACCCTCCCCCCCTCCTCTAACAACGACAATATACGACCCCCCCCCTTCTTAGCGGGGACGTACAACCCCCATGTGTGTCACACAGCGATGCTGTACCATGTTCCCAGGTACCGAGAGTGCTCCACTTATTCAGTGGGTCCTCCCATGTTTATCTATAATCATTTTTCTCCCAGAGTCGCTTCAGGTATATTTTGTAAAATAATATAGCAGCTAACTATAGACCTTGATAACGGTGAAAATGGATGAGAAAAAAGATTCTGAAGTTTCAGGTGCTCACAAAATGTAGCAAACAACTGTGGAATCGACGCTAAACAAATGGCGGCCGTGTTCGCGCAATTGGGACTCTCTGCAGACATAAATGGCGCATGCAGTAAGAAAAATGTGACTTTTTCAGCGATTTTAGGTTTTTTTAGGAACGTAGTTTGTCTCGGAACTGTTAGAGGAGGCCCTCCCATAAGGAGCTGGCAGTAAAGTTAGTTGAGGTTCGCGGAGTGAATGCATTTATACTGGCTGCATAATGTTTCTTTCAGACTGTCTCAAGGGCCAGTAACCAAGACAAACCAGAGCCTAGCAGGGTTCTACAAACCTGCGGTTAAGGTGCTCAATGTTTTCTGGATATCGTTGGTTAGTATCTATAAGAGCTTTTTCCAGGAACGTCGTGGGAAAATGCAAGGACGAAGTGAATTCCACTTTATTGAAAACATTGATCGATTTGTTCTAGAGTACGCTATATATCGCGGAGATGGGGAAGGCGTGATTGCGTACTTCATTGGCGCTGGGCGTAGGATGCACTTTTCGTGAGGTATTTCTGGGGACGGTTGTCATCCTGTCCTGTGCTGGGCAGAGGGATGATTAAAGTTGCCCCAAACTGAAAACGACCCAGTAAAAGAGCAGCTGCCGCCACGTTCGGGTAGAGCATGCGGCCACGCCCTCCTCAACACCGGGATATGAAAAGTAGATAGGATCCTAACTTTCACTTTGCTCTAGTGAAATACATGCTCGCAGAAGGGAAAGATCGTTACTTTCGAATGTTGCAGTGTAAGTTAGTGCCCTCACGTTTCTACCGTCGCGTCGCTATTCTCTTCCCTTTTGAAAGGCTCTGAGAAACATCGCGGCGAGTGATCACATTCTTCTGTGGAAACCCTCGAGAACCTCCCTGCTCTGCTATCTTTTGCTCGAGAGATCCATATGTTGCGACACGGCGAATTAAACTTCTGGCGAAGAAGCGTTTCAAGCAATCGAGCGACGTGCGCTTGTGCGAGATACACATTAGGTTCTTGATCATAGCAATTTTCAAGTACATCGGGTCAGCTAGCAAGGAGACACATGCTAGTTTGTATGCGTCGCCGCAACGTGGATCTCCTGAACGACGCCCATTTTCTGGGCCACCTTTGGTTTTGTTCATGTGTACATAACGGTTGTTCACATCATGTCATATATTTTGAATGTTCATCCTCACCAATTAGTTAGGAACTTTTCTCTTCACCGTACTGAATTGTTATTTTTTTTTATTCGAAGAAGAAATAAAAAGGAAAATGTATGTTTGTTTCGTTTGCATTAAGGGGCAGTAGCAATGAGCTGGTTAGAAAATTATTTTTTGAAGTTCAGAATACTTCCGGAGCCAAATTTATAGCCGAACTAAGTGGCTACATTCTGCTTGCTTACCATCAGAACACTGTATTTTACCTCATAACTCTCTGTATGATGAATAGGGCAGGGAGGGGGGCAAAAAAACCCTTTTTCCTTGACTTCCAAAGCTAAAGAACTCGCAATTTATTGACTTCTAATTAAACGTTTACATCATCAAATTCAACAACACATTGTGCACGATCAGGGAACTCCGCCACAACCTTCTGAAGAACGCCATTGAGAGATTCTGCTACCCATGGGTGACTCCATACTAGAAGTTTCGCAGCTGTTTGGAGGTGACATGAATTCCAAAGGTCTTCTCCAGTCAGGCTGCTGACTTCATATTTTGGTGTACATGAAGGTGATGGGCGAGAGCCAGCTCCTGCTTATCGAGGAACATCTTGGGTATCTTCCGCCCTGGTACTCGTATCCACGTCTTCTCTCTGGGCTGCGTATTCCTTACTGATATGTGTCTCGGGCCAAATGTCTTTTTTTTGCCCCCCCCCCCCTGTAAGCAGAGTACCTAAACTACTAAACTAAGTGGGTTCCTCGTGGTCTATCTGCTTTTATAGATAATGCATAATAGAACAAGGAGTCGAATTGTTCATTAACCGGCCCCTGCGAGCTATTGTATTGGTCAGAAAGGCTTTCGAAAGCCCGTACGATTCTGTAAGGAAGAAGGCATGGCTCGTCTTTAAAAGCGTATGCTTTGTCCCCTTTTTCACTGAGCTTTGGAAGGGTACAAATAGAGCCAGCAGAAAGATGCAAATGCAGGACGTGCCATTTACAGGGAACGCTATCCAATCGACGACGGGAAAAAAGGTAATTGGGTCTAATTTCGACCATCAGCCAATGTTCTCAGCACCATGGTGCAGAATAGCCCTATAAAGGGGCTTATTCGGGTGGCCTGCAAGATTGCTGAAAGCCAATGTGCTCATGACTGCCGATCATTCACTGCTCTTGGTGGTCAAAGTGGCACATCTCTTTCAACGAATTGCATTTATCGGTTGGCATCAGGCCACTATGAAATCCGAATCGACGCACTCTCCCCGCTTGTTTCACATCTGGCTTTCTTTTTCACATTTGTTTTATCGCATTTTGAAGTCATTTCGTGGAATTTTCATTACTGTTTCCATTTGAGAGCGATTTTTAATTGTGCGTGTTATTTTGAGGCACACTTGTGCATCACAAAAATATTTCTCTAATGGTGATTAGCCCAGTTCGCACAGATTCAATGCGGATTTGGCAGCAAGTGGCGATGCATGCATGATCCACTGACCTAGGAGTTATCAGTACTGTTCGGCTTGGAGGTAGCATTTTCCTAGCTTGCTAGCTTCTCTTACTTCACCTTGCTGAGACCTGTAAACTCTTGTGAAGTGCGACCGAAGCGCGCTATTGTACAGTTTACAGGTCTCCGCAGGAGGCATCGGCAATGACCGACGGGACCACTATAGTCCACCCCCCCCCCCTCCAAACACACACAAACCTGAACGGTGCTGAATTGTCCAATTCTTCCATCTTCTTTGACTCTGCTCATTACTTCTAGAGTTGCATCTGTAGGTTTTAGCGCTGATTGCTCGAACAACTGCTGGCGTACTCTAGGTAATCATTCAATGTCAGTACATTTTGAAAGGATGTAGAACACACGGCGCGTCCTAAAAGTCGACTCTTTATGAAGCTTTCTTTGTTAGTTATTTTTTCTTTGTGATGAACCAGCCGTGTCAGGGTCCAGTCATGAAGGATACCTTGTTTCCTGGGATATTTTCTGTAGAGAAGGTTGTATCGTGCAAAATTTTTACACAAAAGGAAAGGTGCCTGGTCAGAAGCAGAACGTCTCTAATTTCTGCGAGGGTGATGATTTTTGGCGTTATTTTTTGACTCTTCTAGTGATTCCGGACAAAGTTTTATCAAAATTTGTCTCCAAGGGTGTGCACGAAACTTGTCCTTGAGGGTCGCCGGACCATGAACAACGCGCTTCTTCAGCGCGGAAAAGTTTAGCTCCAGAGCCACAGACTCTGGCATCAGAACGTCAGTTACCACTAACTTCGCTGAAGACTTGTCCCCCCCCCAAGTGATGTGACTCGCAGAGTACGAATATCACATTCACTTGTCATCACGTCATCGCAAAATGATGTGGTGCAACAGGGGGGGGGGTGCGTATTGGGTTGCTGGGAGATGTGGGTCGTATTTGCCTTCTGAGTTTTCCGCGAAATTTGCGGCGTTAGGAAAAAGTTTTCTCGGTCGTTGACTTCCCGCCGTTTTTCCTGTTTCATGTGTACTACACCCCTCCCCTCCCTCGGCTCGACAGCAAAACTTTTAGGCAAAATTAGGAAAAATTCAAAATCCTCGGGAAATTCCGAGAAAAAATAGGAAGTTGGGGAAATCCAAGAAATGTTGGCCAGGAGAGATCGTATATTCCTAGCGTTTTTTCCCATTTCATGTGCTATTTGCTTTTGCCCCCCCCCGCTAAACAGCTCGATGAGGAGGGAACCAGCGGGGGTCGTACCAACCCCCTAAGAAAGGGCTGGGGTCGTACTGACTCGAGCAAAATCCCCAGCCAGTGACGTACCCTGAACATGTTTCCTCTGAAGAAGGTAGGTATCCAAACGGGCCACCAGATGCACCTTCCCCTTACCCTTCCCCAGGAGAAGTTTTGATGGAAACCTGGCCTAGATCTCAATTACAAAGTGCGGTGAAGAAAAAATAATATCTGTTTCATCTGTGGTTTCACAAGCTGAAAGCCTCTAGAACGCTAATTCTTGGCTGCATGCCGGAACTGACGTCATCTTCCTTCCTGACTCGTCGCTTGTCCCACGATCCAGTCTTGCCGCGCCATGTGACCCCGCCGACATTGTCATGTCAGTTTGTGAGCTTGTGTGCCTTCCGTTGCTAATGTGGTTTCCTCTTCCGTTGCCGATCCCCATTTGGATGTCTTAGTTGAAAAGAACAAGCTCAAAAACCGCTGGTGCCTGGAATTGATTCTGAGACAACTTCCTTGAATAGATCTGAAATGGGCATGACGTCGAATCTTATCCGGTCTAAGGCGACTCACTGACAGGGGGGGGTGTAGTTTATAAAGAGCCTCAGCTATGGCTCTTCAGCCTAATGATCCGACGTCACCCTCCGCAGAAATACACAGTTCTTCTTCAGTGTCTCACACTCAATAGCTGTATTGAACGTCCTGATATTGAGACGCCTTTTTTCCCCGCAATAAAAAGCCTAGGTGATTTTGCAGAAATGTGGAAGAAAATTCGCCAAGTGAACCATCTATGAAGAGAAAATGCCAAAGGGAACGTTGGAAACGCATTCGTCAGGCCT